TCCAAAAGAAGATTTGCAATTTTTCCACAACGTCAGACTCACCACCGCTTACCGTAGTTAAAATGAGGACGAGCACATAGGATGCGCCTTAGGTAAACATATCACCAGAATGATTGACAAGTAGGAAGACAACTTATTTTAATGATCCACCCGGAAAAGGAACATCCTCCACTATACCTTTAAACATGTAGTTTAATTTGAATGAAGAAATGGAAAAGCATAAAAAACATTTTTAGAACTGTATGTTGAGTGCTCCTTTTAATACAAGTTTTTAAGTGTCATAAAAGTTTAAACCTTTTTATTCCGCTTCAGATTTAAAAAGTAGTGCTGGATTTTATTCTTCCATAGTCCTTAGAGTAAATATGTTCCATAAAAAAGTGTTCAACATATTTTATGCTTCATATCTGCTGTGCATATCAAACTTTAAGCAGTGTGCTGACACCAGAAAAGTGCATTAGTGACCAGAGTTTCTATGCACAAGATAAATGACATTTGTGGATGTAACCTCATTGAACGAGCACTGCAAGGGTACGTGTGTGCGTACTGTAGAGGTTATGATCTGCCCTCTGGCCGTCTAGTATCAGCACTATATAAAAAAACGCAGAGGTATTCTGTGCTGTCAAGGGAAAAACTAAGCTGGCCAGTCAGCGCTAATAGATAAGGACAAAGGTCGAAGCTTAAAAGGTTTTTAGTTTTAAGGAAATTTTTATTTAATTTCCAATAAACTGCAGGTTTTTATCTCTACTTTAACTGGCCTTTTTATATGTAAAAATCTAGTAATTTATATTCTAATTCAGTTTATTTGCATAGCTCCAATCCAAAACACCAGTTATCTTAAGGCACTTACAGTCAAATTGATTCAAAGTTTTCTATCTAAGGAAAACCAGTTGATTGCATCGACTCGTTGACTCGAAGGCAATCCGTCACACTAAGCATGCTTGTAGTGACAGTGGAGAGGAAAACCTTCCTTTTAACTGGAAGAAACCTCCAGCAGAACCAGGCTCACACTGAGTCACATGTGAGCAAAGTAAGGTTTTGTAGGTACAATTTTCATTCTTGGATTATTGAAGGTGATAAAAAGGTAAGCAAAGAGTCATGCAGGTTTTTTTTGGATCCTTTAAACTTTTAGGACAATGTTATATAGACCGACACATAACATTGTGTTATAGGAAGTTTTCCATCGTATTTTATCTCTGCATAATTCAACATTTCAAGAAAACATTGTAGCATCACCCCCTACTTCTTAGTGGCTAAAAAAAACAATCCAAAAGGAAGGTTATGAAATGTCTTAGTCAAGTTCCGACTTAAATTTGATTAAGATGTTGCAGCATTGCCTTTAACAGGCTGTCTGTTTAAAAACTTTCCATTGTGTCTGAGATGAAAAAAAAAAAAACCCCTGCAAAGTAGAGGTGACCAAAATTCCTCTAAAACGAGGTAGAAGATTCATAACAAATAATTACAGGCACTTGATGGTAAATGTTGCTGCCAATCACTCATTAATGAATAGTATTAGTATTTTTTATTTATTTAGGTTTGATTTAGTTTTTCCTGACATTTCAATCTTTAAAACATTCAAATTTGATCCAAAAAGCAGACTTTGCCGTGACCTTTTCATTTTTCAAATAGGATGAAGAGATCCCCTTACTTCCACTGTCACACTTCTTTATTCTTTATATCATGGTATTTCATTTGCACCTACTGTAGGTAAGAAATGAAAACAACAAAAACCATTAAATAATAATATTAAAAAAAATTTACTCTTAGATTTTGGAGCAGATTTTTTTAGTCATTAAGTTCTCTCAAGCTGACTGCTTTTGGTCAACATGACAAAAATGTTAGACTCGCCTAGATTAGATATCTGGTTAATTAAAAATCTCCTGAACCCATTTAATGCATTGCTCTATGGAAGTTATTTAAACCTTTCACCAGTGCTGACAGGTGGCTAACGATCTGACTGCAAGGCAATGAAAAAGTTTTTTTTTTTTTTATTAGAACTGTGCAGCCATGTTGCTAGATTGCATTTTATTGTATCACCTAAAATTGCATTTTACTGATGGATCTGGGTGCTTTAAAACAAGTTTGATTGTTGCAGTTTTCATTGGTCATCTAAGCAAAACAGGTAGAGATGTCTGCCAGGCTCTAAGGTCAGAAGATTTTAAACTCACTCATACAGATTTGCTTGCATTTTGTTAAGCAAACCACAAATAAGACTACAACAGAATCTTGTTCTGTAAGAAGGTAAAGCATTTTACGTTAAATTGAATATCGCAAGTAGATCTTGGATTTATATAAATCTCAATTTGTTTCAGTCTGAACATGCTTTGCTGCTGTTGCGCAATCCCATGCACTATAGCTTCAGCGCCCTAAGAAAGGTGCAGAATGTACAGCATGTGTGAGCCCAGAGGAGGGAAAGGAACACCAAGCTGCTATCGTATACAAATTGTGCACGTCACTCTCGTTTTTCAGGTCTGGAAGCAAGAACTAACTGAATGGTTAGCTGTGCACTCAAACTCTCTGACTCATTCCTGAATTGCTGGAATATTAGACCAGAGGTTATATGAAGACGCACAACAACAGTGTTAAAGCCCAGTTTAGGCCTCTGATTACTCAACCTGTGCTGGATCAAAATATGGAAATAATCTATTTCCTTTGGGAAATAAAATAACAGTTAGGTAATGTTTAGGAATGAGGTTAACAAAGGTGACATATTTTATCAGAAGGAGCATTTATTGGTTTTTGTGGTATTTGAGAAGCAAACAAAAAGGCGCTTCTTAAAATAAAACATTTTGTTAAAGAAATAGCAAAAAGTATCCGTCTATATACGACAACAAAACTGTTTTTTTTATGTGTTGATAGAAAGAAATCTAACCTTAGATAGAACTATTTTTGGGCAATCACTTAATAATTCCCACATTATATAAAACCGGTTTTATAATAGGATAATTTAATTAAAAGTGTCTGTGCAAATTCTTAGTTGTCTGTGTCTTGGCAACCGCAGAATGTTTGATTTGGTATTTGATTAGAAGTATTTAAATATTAGGACTCCTTTGAAATGCAAATACTGCTTTCTACTTTGGATATCTGTAAAAAAAAAAAAAGAAAAAGAAAAGGGGAAAAAGAAATTCAACAAATAATAGCAAGAGGAGGAATTATAATGACAGGATAAAATGAAAGCTGGAGTCTGATACAATTAAAGGGCATTTTTTTGGGTCTTAGTTGGATAATACAAAGTAATAAAGTTAGATATGATAACATCACTTCCGCTTTGGTCTTTCAAAATTTAATCCTACCAATTCTGTCTCCTGTACAAATGACACACCCAGGGGGAATTAATATTATTATTTTTTTTTTTGTAGTTTTTATAGCAGTGGTAAAAAAGCCGTACATTATATGTATGTTTTCTTTATCTCTGTTCAATTTATTTATGTAATGCCAATAAAATTTAAGTGTTTTTTTTCAGGTTACTTTACAAAAAATGGCATTTCAGTCCAAAAAAACACATTTCTAAATCCGATTACATAAAAATCCTGCTGAATCTGGTCATCAAATAATAACTTCAGTTTATTTAATCAAATATTTTCTTCTTTAGTGAAAACCAGCTGATTGCATGAAGTGACTAACTTTGCCATTGACTCCTAGCGGACAGAGACCTTTGATCTTGCAGGACCCCCCCTCATACTAAGCATCCCAATATAACTTTTTATGGCCATATTATCTGATTTTATTAATCTAAAATTCGTGTGATCTGGCTAATATGTGAAAGAGAAAAGACAGGTGTGTCATATAACATATAGCGAATATCTGAAAGTTTGTTATTGTGACTTTACAAACAGTAAAAACATATTTTAACAGAATTGAAATTAAATATCTAGACTAACTATACTTTCCTACAGCCTTTGCTAACAGATAGACGCATATATTTAAACATATGTGATTTCTAAATAAAAGGTATAGTGGATAAAATTCTTCCAGTATTGAGATCTGGGGCGTGAATCTTTTCCATCGTCATTACTTACCTACTAGTATCAATAAACATTCTGCATAAAACTGATATTTATCAGCACTAATTCATAAATTGATTATTTTATTTGTTGTTTTTTTTTAACTGTTATTTATCTATGATTTCACTGAACACTTCCAGTGACTTGCAGAGACACATTTTCTCTTTACCCCATATAACACAAAATCTAGTTCTGAAAAGGGCATGAATTCTTTATTTGTCATCTTTGATGTTAGTATACTGACATGTGTAATTAACCACAAAAATATAAATGTTTTGAATATTCCACTTGAGAGTATTACTGCTGCCACCATCTGTATTAGAGGGGAAAAATGAAACAGGTGGCCACAGGGGTGGCCTATAATTGGCTAAGGAGCCACCGCTGGCCCCCCATCTAGCTCCGCCCCTGTCACATAGGTCAATAATTGCGGTTATCTCTCCTTCCTCTGTGCGGCGGGTTGTTCTGAAGGCCGCTCAATGGCGTAAATATCGGTAAGCAGACGTAATGGCGCCATTAATTCCTTTTAAAACCCACCTGACCTTGAAAAAACTACTGACCGGACCGTATCTATACCACATGCCAGATTTCAACATGATGGTGAGCCGTTTAAACACAACACCAACAGCAAAGCAGACAGTGGTTCTTTTAATTACTATGTTAATGTGTTTAGTTCATTAGACGTTGGTAAAAGATACACTCATATAATATGTTGCAAAGCGCAATAAAGATGTTAAAAGGACTATGTATTTGAGTAGTTTTTTACACTACGACTTGGAATTATGGGTAATCCAGAGCGTGAACCGTTACGTAGAATATATTAGCGACGATGGGGTGTTGTACTTCATATGGGGCCCACCCAGATAATGTTGCTTAGGGGCCTGTTTGCTGATGAAGATTGTCAGTATAGGGGCCTGTTGTGTCGTTACGCCGTTGAGTCTGCTGTTTTATTTTGAAAGGCAGATGAGCTTCCGCTTTACTCCCGGCGCACGAGCGGAACTTGACTCGTCGCTGTTGCTGTGGGGAGTCCAGCCATTGCCTTGACGAGTCATCGCCAGAGAGGAGCTCAGAGCAGCCCGAGGAGTAGCTGCAGACGGCATATCTGTCACGGCGGGTTTACTGCATCACACGGCGGACCGGACTTCCACGCAGAGTGGGGTTTAAAGCCTCTTTAAGGGACGCTGTTTATATTTTGGACCGGAACGCAGACTACCCCCCCTCCCTTCCCAAAAACAGACAGACAGTGAAGTAGCACCAGAGCCGTCGCTACATCGCTGAGGGAACTTGGCATCTCTGCGCAGTGGGAGGTGTCTGTCTCGCGGCTTCTTTTTCTAAACGTCCCGCTGGCATGGACCTCTATTATAAGGGGAGGGGGGGGGGTAGTGTTTAGTGCATTTTCTCCACCTTTTTTTTTTTATTCTTTTTTTTTTTTCTGCAACCAACTGTGGCTTTAATGTGACGCGCCGTGCAGACAGTCTGAGAGGGATTCCCACTGCAGAGGAGTTCAGTAAAGGCTCCATTTCTCAACTTTTTACCTTCATATGAAGCAGCGGCAGCGAAACCAACACTGATGTAAAAGGTAACGATTCATTTCGCTCTGTTTGACTCACTGTTCACGTGTAGTTTTATTCTGTGGGTAAAGTTTGCAGCAGAGCGGAGAGCCGCTCTGCATCCCTTCCAGCACACTTATCAGCTGGATATATATAAGCCTCTTTAATACTAATGCATGCAAACACTGGGTGCAATTACTGTGCTTCACACTTTGCACGGCTCTATTATGAAGTGCATGTTTCATTTTCTTTCAGTGAGCCAGAAACGAGCTTTTATAGAACAGAAAAGAATAGAACAGAATAGAATAGAATAGAATGTTATAAAGCAGAATAGAATAGAAAATAATAGAATATAACAGAATAGAATAGAACAGAATAGAGTAAAATAGAATAGAACAGAATAGAGTAAAATAGAATAGAACAGAATAGAGTAAAATAGAATAGAACAGAATAGAGTAAAATAGAATAGAACAGAATAGAGTAAAATAGAATAGAATAGAAAAGAATAGAATAGAACATAACAGAATAGAACAGAATAGAATAGAAAAAAATAGAATATAATAGAACAGAATAGAACTGAAGTGAATAGAACAGAAATGAATAGAATAAAATAGAAAATTCTGATGTTTACAGCAGCAAAAAGATTATAGAAAAGAATGGTCACACAAATGTGGACCTTATAAAAAATAAGAAATATAAGAATAACATTATAGTGAAAAGCTAAAAAATAAACAATAAAAACTGTAAAACGTTTTAACAATATAAATACTGTGAGAATAAATAACCAATATACAGCTATGGATACTTTTACAGTAAAGGATATTTGAAAATAGCAACATCAGAGATGTGCAAAATGACAGCAGCATGTTATTTAACTGACTAAGATAGAAACTGTGCAAAATCAGCATGAATGTAACGACTTATTGAGGTTGCTGGGAACAGTGGTGGTTCGATAATCACTGATTCTGTGATGCAATTAGCAGCTTAGTTGATATAAAGGTATTTAAATCAGTGAGCGCGGATCTAGAAATCTGCCTTTTATTGAATTTTGTTTTCCTTTGAGTCCTTGTGGATGTGCTGCTATGTCTTTTATAGAGGCTATAGACTTGAATCCTACATTACCTAAAGACATTTTTACTGTATTTAATGGATCCGTTATAGATAAACTGAATTTAGCCTACCGTCCCATAACTGGAAGATCAAATAGTGGAAAATCTGAACTCACATTTTTTTTTTAGCTTTCAAACACTTAAAGCAGCAGCATGGACATTGATTTTTCAGATTTGATTAAAACCAGATAAGTTAGACCCATATGATTTGATGCATGCAGGGCTTAGATCTTATAGTTTGATTCAAAACTGCTGCTTCTATTATCTGAAATAAAATGTATTTTTCTTTGTAAGCATGGCAGATGTTTTAGAAACATCTGATTACTGCATCCATAGAAACGTATTTATGTTCAACTACTCTAAAATGTTCTAAAGAGTTTGGAATCCTCTTTAGCACGATGAATGGCAGGTATGACCTAAATGTTTGGTGCACTAAACAGCTGTGATGGGAGAGTATAACTCATGCTGACTGGTAGCAGGTTTTTTTCTGGCATCTACCTCAAAGAGCTTTAAACCGTATGAAAGACATTCTTGCTGGTTTTGAAACAGAAACCTTAAAAAAAAACAGAACAATATACTTTTGATACAGGTAAAAATCCCATGTCTCCTTGGTTCTTGTGAAATATCTGCAAATTAACCCCAGCCAGAGTCTGCTGCTACATGTCCCTGTGGTAACATGATGTCAGGTGTTTTTCAGGTGTGACGATTGAGTGATTCAGGTTTAAAGTTTCCTCCATATCAAGCTCTATCCAGAGCTGAACCGGCCTCCAGGAAAGAAGCCGTCTGCTCGGAGCTCTGCAATCGTTTTTTTTTGTGTGATTTAGACGGAAACTCCTCCAGTAAAGCACTTCAGTGAGAACAGCTCTCTCATTCTTGAGTTGTCCGTCTATTCAGAATGTGTCATCCCCTCCTGAGGGATTACCTCACCACCTCTTTGTTGGAGCCACTCACAGGAGCAGACAGTGCAGCACCTGGGACTTGAGACATCTAGCTGAATGAATTACCTCTCTTAACCTCAAGGGCGGCCTTTACAATCTGCTGTATTATAGCACGCTAATTTTAAGACCCGTTCATTACACGTGTAACTGAACAGCACACATGGCTGCACAAACAAGCACGGCGATTTACAGCGCGCAGCTTTTGGGACCTTTAAACCATGTTGAAGCATCTTCTGTTTGAGATTAAGCCTGGCAAAATTTGTCAGCTTGTAAAATGACTGGCTCCCGTTTTATTCAGTTGTTTTACAGGAGACTGGTTTGACTGGAAGAGAAAACTCAGAGAGCAGTGATTGAAAATGTCTCCATCATCGCAAACCAGAGCATGTGCTGCTCATCTGACGCGAGCAGAAGTCTGCAGGCTGTTTAGAAAAGCTGCTGGCAAATTCAGCAGGCATATAAACAGCCAGGCAATCAAGCTCCGAGCCAGCTCCCATACCAGAGAATGAAAAAGAGCACATACAGTTAGTCTGTCATGGAAACAGGAACACACTGAAAAACAGACCAAGATCCAACATCCACAAACAAAGGCTTTGATGGCAGGAGCACAGCTGACACACCTCTCCAGAATGGTGTCACAGCCAAACGGGAACAGAGCAGATGAAGCTACTATGCAAAGAAGCAAAGAGAGCATAACGTTAGAGATTGAACTAATGAATTCTGCAGAGTGGGAGAAAAGAGTTAGAATGAAGCAGAATGATAAAAAAGGGTCCCTATGTCCTCCAGCAGTTAAAGCCTATAGCAGCATAACTATAGAGATATTTCAGGATAACCTAACCTAACTATAAGCTTTATCAAAAAGGAAAGATTTAAGCCTACCCTTAAAAGTTCCTTCAAATTATTTAACAGACAAATTTTTATTCAAGTGGGTCTGTATTCATCTACAGTTAAGTAGCTTCTCGCTTTAACCTGCTTATGTCTTGAGATTATTATTTAAGATGTTTGAAAAGAATGAGAATGAAGCAAATTAATCATAACAAGGGCCTGTTTTATTAAACATTGCAGACTGTTTGTAAGGGAAGCAGAAAAGCTACAAATCCCGTCCTGGAATATATCTAAAAAAAGACCCCAGTTTCCATAACAATGATAGACAAAGTTTTAATGATTTAAGCTTTAACAGTTTTTTTTTTACTTTGGTTTAGATGAGACTAAGATTGAGTTTTTATGTATACCTACAAATCTTACCTTGAGTAGAGTAACTACTCAACAGATTAACCAAATAATGATTATTAATTATATGCAATTAATCATCTAATTTGTTTTTTTCTTTTTTTTTTACTTCTAGTGACAAAGACTTTAGAAGACCAAGCCAGGCCAGGCCAGGCTAGGCCAGGCCGGGCCAAACCAGATTGGTCAGCTCCATCTCCACAAGAGTCACCTTGGAGAGAGCATATCCTCGTCATTATCTACCATTCAAGCTTTAAAGATTCCTTTGTGGCTGCCAGCACCTGATCAGTCCCCAGTCCTATGTTGTGGTCTGTTTTGTCTGGATGTCGGAAGCAGGATGGATTCTGGACTTGATTTGACCATTTATACCTCATCGCAGCATCGGCCAGCCTCCCTATTGGACTGCTTATCCTCCCAAGTCTTTAAGCCCCCGCTTCTTACCTGGGGCCTTCCTCAGCCCTCTAAGGAAGGGCCTTATAGGAACTGTAGCTTGTCTTGTTAGAACTGCTGACATTTGCAGAGAGGAAACAGAGCTGATAAGTCCTGACAAACTTTTACAGAGAACAAGAGTTGCTCTGTCAGTTTTCTGATACAACCAATTGCCTTTAATTTTTTATTTTTGTTTTGAGTTCTGAAGTTTACACAAATAAGTTTGTCCAAATTCTCAGTTTTTACACAAATCCTTATTTATATTTTCCTTCTTTTTCGTTGTGGTCTGAGCCCAGCAGAAGAATGTCCGAAAGCAGCAGCAAAGCAGTAAAATTCCTCGCCCCGCTCCCCCCTGCGCCCTCCGACTCCCCCTGCCCGTCACCTCAAACCCCCCACAAGAATGTGAATGGCTCTGCAAGCTCAGACTCGCATGTCGTGGAGAAAATCGGCGAGCAGCCCGAGGTGCGGCGGCGGCGCCACACCATGGAGAGGGACTCCAAAACAGCCGAGCACCGTTTCTTCCGCCGCAGTGTTATCTGCGACTCGAACGCAACAGCTTTGGACCTGCCCAGCAAAGCGACGGTACTTATCACCTCACCCCCAGACTGTGAAGGGTCCTCCCTCCTCTTGTCCTTGCAGAACTTTAGGCCTGAGGAGCAAGAGGCTGAAGGTGAGAAAAATGGAAGAGGGTCCTACTTGCAAAGTGCTGGACTCCCGCCTTACTCTGACCTGGGGGGGACGGCTAGCCAGGGGCACATCCAGCATTCCTTGGGAGATTTAGATCTAAATGTTCTCTCTGTGGCTGTACCCACAACTAGTAGTGCTATTTATGGTGCAGAAGAGTCAACAAAAGAGCCGACCTCGTCAGCTTTGGATGTTACGGACAGAGAGGTGTGCAAACAGCCCAAAGTCAAGTTGTGTGCCAGAGGGATTCAGGAAGAGCAACCGGCGTCAAAAGACGAAAAGGCGGACGAACCCGGTAGCGACGGAAACGTTAGCAGCCAGACCGATGAGAAGGACCGAGAGAAAGAGGAGGAGAAGGGGCAAGCGAAAGCGCGGGCAGAGCAGAGGGAGGCCGAGAAACGAGTCCAAGATGATATAGAGGAGGCCGAGACCAAAGCTGTAGGCACCTCGCCGGACGGGCGCTTCCTGAAATTCGACATTGAGATCGGTAGAGGGTCTTTCAAGACCGTCTACAAAGGACTCGATACGGAAACTACCGTGGAAGTGGCATGGTGTGAGCTACAGGTAAGGCTTGACTCTTAAAAATAAAATCTGTTTCTCTTCTACATCTCCACCTTCTTGTTTGCTCTGTTTTAATCTTGATACACTGATCAGGTTGGAGAACACTGCTCAGATGATGCTGTTTACGATAAGAGATCAGATACACTGTGCAGATTACGCCTTGGTTAAAGCAGTTTGCTTATCTTTTGCAATTTTAGATCAACTTCTAAGGAACCAGAGTTAGCATCACTTGAAAAGTATTTGTATTTCTTAAGCTTTTCACATTTTGTGACATAACCACACAACATTCAGTTTGTTTCATCAGTATTTTCAGAGCAACTGAAGTTGAAGAGAAGTAATGACTGTTTTTTTTAAAAAGAAAATCAGTAAATTACCTTCAAACATTATCTTCAGGATCAACAGAACAGAACAATGTAAAGTAGAACTGCGGTCGAAAACCAACACGTTAGATAAACAGTTTTTCCACAGTGATGGCGGCGTCATGCTTTGGGGAGGCTTTTCTTAAGCTGGGGGATTAGAAGGGAAGACGTATGATGTCCTGGAGAAAATAAAACTGTTAGAAAGGCTTTAAAATGGTATTAAAAGAACCCTGAACATCCAGACAGGGCTCCAGAACTCTGGCAACAATTGAACGGTGTTTTCTGTAGAGTGTTTGCAAAGAACGATAGGCCAAGATCATTAGCGTCTATTAGTGCCAAGCTGATAAAGACCAGCATTCATTTTGGAGGTGTTTTTTTTTATGTTCCTTCTATGACCTGTACTTCCTCGACAAAAAACAAAACAGAAAAACAATATAATAAAAAATCTTAACTGACATTTTTTTTCAGTTAGTAGCAAAATGACTGCATCTCCTCCTCAGTTTTGCAGCTGAAAAGTTTCTTTTCGCCTTACTCATGCTGTGGAGGAGGTGCTCCCAGTCTCTTCTCTGTGAGCAGTTGATTCTCTTTTTTTTTCTCTTTTTTTTCTCTCTTTTAATGACTGAACGGATGTTGAGGTGCAACACACGACCGCGATCACAAGTTGCATGGTTGAATTTAGAAACGCTGCCAAACAGCTGAGGAGTAATTGTAGTTTGGTTTGAGTTCCTGACTACTGTCGGAAATTATTCAGCAGAGTAAAAGCTCAGGTAAAGACAGGTAGCTGGGAGGCGTGTGGCCTAATGTCACTTTTGTTGGATGCAGTTAAACAAGAACAGTATGTATTAAACAAAAAGCAGCTTTCCGATTATTGATGGCGTTCGTCTAGGTGTCCCAAACCAAATTCTTCTGTATCATTGGTGGGGAAATGATCATGACACTCCATGCTGGATTTAGAGGTTTTTTAGGCTGCAAAATGGAAAAGAGTTTGATTTTTTGATCTGATTTTTCTTTGTAGCTGTTTTTTAGATGCCAGTGCAGGACCAGCGGTGCGTCCAGGAGTCCGATAGGTAGAATAACATCATATGACGTTCGGACTGATCTGAGGTTTTAGCAGGAGGAAGAAAACACACTGACATGGACTCACGTGGAACTGCTTGTTGCTATGCCAAGGAAACAAAACACGCAGGATTTTAAACAAAGCCTTTGGGATATGCAGCAGAGTTAGCTGACGTTTCGTAATAAACAGTTTCAGTCCGATTCATTACAGATTGGTAATTAAAAGCAGAAACAGTCGGATTGCTCTTTTTTCTGAGTTTTTTATTTCACTTTTTTATTTTTTTATGTGGGGGGAACATGTGCTTGTTTTGCTGTCATCTTCATCACAAGATCATCCTCGAGTCTTCCAGAATCCCAGGGGCTCAGATGAGCTTTGCCTGACGGCCCGCGTCAAGGAGATGCTGGTTTGTTTGTCAGAAAACAAATGTCCAGAAGCCCTGGCTGAGCTTCCCTGTCACACATCTCTCATTTTCCCTGCGCGTCTGTCGTCTGCTCGTGAAAGTATGGAGACCTGGTGATCCTCAGCAGCGCTGTGCATATTAAATCTCTGTATTTGGGCTGCCCTCCAATTTTCAAACTAGCTTGACTTTTCTTTGCCACATTGTCTTTTTCAAACCTCTAAAAGTTTCTTTGTATTCTAACAACTCTTTAGAAAATTGAAGTCATTTAAGACTGAAACCTGACTCATTCTGCTTAATCAAAGAAACTATTATAGGGAAATCTTACTGGTTGGATACAAAAATGGGTAGAAAGGAAAACAAAAACTTGTAAACCACAAATTTAGGATCATAAGAGGTACTGTATTTTCTTGACTTTTGATTCTGATAAGCTGAGGCTTCGAGTCGTGTGTCAAGTACTGGAGGGGGGGCGTTTCTGCGAGGTGCGTATCGAGGCTTCCTTCATTTGGGGTAGGAGCCAAAATGGATGACATCTGAAGCCTCGCTACCCGCCATACCACGTGACCGCTTCGGGAAGTGGTTCAGCTCGCCCAGAACTTCGGCAGGCATTCGCACAGCCTCAGTATTCAGTCAAGATGGGTTTTTTTCAGCAGAGTTGGATAGAGTTTAGATAACCTAAGAATAGATTGGTGTTTTTTCCAACCAATCTAGTGGGTTAAAACTAGTGATCAAACTATGATCAAAATCTGAGCAAGTCACTGATAAAAATGTAAACGTATTGTGTAAATATGTAGATGCTTTAATATGTCACTTATTTAGACGTGTTAGCTGTAAGAGGTGGACTTCCCTTCCGTGGGTTGTTGGTTCAAGGCCCTCCTCAGACTTTTATAAGTTTTGATAAAACACATCCAGTATTTTGGCTAATGTGACTAATTTGCATTTGTTGCCCTTGTATAAATATAGATTGGTTATGTTTCAATAAAAATGACCCACACCTTACATTTTCTCATCATTGCCCAATTTGCACAAACACTTTCACTGTCTGCTTGAGCCTATTTCACTAAAATGGCAGAAAAACTGTGTACCTACAATTATTTTTCCTCTTCTAAGACATTTTACATACAAAAAAACATAAAGATTTTATTATACAGACCAAATATTAACAATTTCAAATAGACTTATATGGGGAAAAAAACAAACAAGAAAAACAATATTGAAAAAAAAAAAAAACACAATTATATTACAAACTGTAGTTCTGCACTCCACCAGTAGGTGGTGACATGTTCACATGAGGCCTTATGAGCTGTGGGGATCGTTGAAGCAATTTGGCAAAACGGTTCAATTTCTCATGAGGCTTCATCTCACCGTCACTACTAGAAACCTACACGTATTAGCTGGACTGGGCTATAAGTTGCTGATACCTACTGAAATGTCTCCCACCAAACCTGTAGGGGGAGCTCTACATATAGCCTGCGGAGTAGAGATGAAGAAGAATGCTAGCTCCCGATAGCTTGTTGGCTCGCAGCTCTAAGAGCTTCTTAAGAAAGATGGGGCTTCGTCAGCTCTTTATTTCAGCTCTGCAGGGGTTGAACTCAGTCTCTTCATTGGTTTGGTAGCTTTAACGCAGCAAATAATTGTCAAAATGTGAGTATTCAGGACATTGTTTTACGTCCTGCCTGCTGCGAGCATATTTTTGTACTAAATGAGAAATTAGCCCATTATTCATTCATTTCCAGCTCTGACAATCCAAAAATCCACAGAAAAGCCACACCTTCTTATAAGCTGCATGGTTTAAAGTAAACATTGAGTATTTTAGAACGAAGAAAGCACATTGGGCAACATGAACCAGAAACATTTGGTGCAGAATTTGTTCCTAGAGTAGAAGCAAGGTTGAGCCATCTCCCTTTAAATAGCATGGGTCTGGTTCCAAATTGAGCATCACTAATCAATGCCCTGCTGAAAGATCGTTGGCCCACATGGAGAACACCTCAGCTGTGCTGCTGCCATCAACACCCTTGTTTATAGATGTTGGAGATCGGCCTGTTTTTCAGTGTTGTCCTGTTTCTCGGACTGTGACTGGCTGGATGTCCTCTCTTCATCCTCTGACATGGCTCAGAGCTCGTCTGCCTGGCTGTGTGTTTCCTGGATCGGGCTGCCTTTTACAGCTGCTTTTTGTATCTCTGCTTCTGTCTCCCTGAACCCCAGTCGGCTTCGGCAGATGGCCGCTCACACTGAGCCTGGTTCTGCTGGAGGTTTCTTCCTGTTAAAAGGGAGCTTTTCCTCTCCACTGTCGCTACAAGCATGCTTAGTGTGAGGGATTGCATTCGAGTCAATGAGTCGATGCAATCAACTGGTGGAAGTAGTCCAGCTGAGCCACATCTAAGGATTGGTTGACTCTCAGCTCTTAAAATGTACTGTTTCTATGTGTTTCAGTTATCTTTATGTACGGAAAAGAGTTTCAGTTGTCGAGATATAAACTTCCCTTTGTTGTCATTTCATGTTCGGCGCAAAAGGTTAACAGTTCATCACAAATAGTTCAGTTTCATGCTCCGAGGAAAAAACGTGAAGAGTTAAGGGGTTTTCCAAAAGTTTCCCACAGCAATTTAAAAAGTGTTATTTGAGTTAATTATACTTTAGTGTAACCTAAGTATTGAACATTTGTGGTGAGCTGTCTAAATGTCGCAGTAACAAACGGTTTACCGCTCTGCCCTCCTATAATCCCCTTTAGTGTGTTTCTGTCAAAGATGACAGAGCAACTGTGGACATGTGGCAGAAAGCTGAGAGTAAAGTTACATACGTGCACATACGCCCACCCAACGACCAATCGCCTTCCCCCACCGGGTGGGCATGGCAACTGGAGATCTTTGAGAGTCATGATCGGGCAGTTGTTCTAAGTCCAGCATATGTTTCTGATTGATGTTTGGATGGAGGTAGTTGGGTCTTTAACATCTTCAGATGGATGGAAGGTTTGCTCAAGCTTTAAGCAAACTAGTAATGAATAGATGGTGGGAGTGGTGAGGGGGAGGAAGGTCACTCAGTAGCTTATCTTAACGGGCGTCGTTAGTTTGGATTGGAGAGAGAAGGCAGAGGCAGGTCACCTGGGATGAAAAGAATCCCTAAACGGTTTTATCTCAGGAGTTTTTGGAGGATGTCTCTTATTTAGGTTTCCCAAACTACTGGCAACGTCTTG